GAGGAGGAGGAGGAGGAGGAGGAGGAGAAGAAGAAGAAGAAGAAGAAGAAGAAGAAGAAGAAGAAGAGAAGAAGGCGTAAGAAGAAGAAGAGGAAGGCGTAAGAAGAAGAAGAAGAAGAAGAAGAAGAAGAAGAAGAAGAAGAGCTAAATGTGACAAAAATCAAGGGCAGTGGTTGGTGCCCACCTCAGGTTATCAATTGCCGGGCAGATGTTGATGCTTAAGTACAGCCTGGGTTAAGGTGGATTATCTCTTACAGTGTAATCAGTTAGGGGATTCTGCAGACTATTGAGGGTTCAGCCTCGTGATGAGTCAGTGAAACTCCGACGAAACAGTTTGTCACAACCCCGCATTTGTTGTCCTCTTCTCCATCTCTGCCGGCGTTTTACCGGGCAGTTCTGTTTGACGATATATACCACGACTTCGATAGCACCCTGCTACAGTTTTCTCTGGTCAGGTTGAGCTTTTGTGGTAGGGGTCGTCACTGCGCGGCCATGCTGTGCCTCTAGTGCCAGCGGCTGTCTATAGTGTATTTTTTTGGCTGTGATAGACCTTTCTTTGTTTCATGGGTGTTTTGCTGGCTTGTGATGGGGTGTGAACCGACAGTCTATAGAGTTTTCCATCTGGTGTGGGTGAGTGATAGTCTGCTTTGATTTTCGTCACAGGTACCTTGAGGGCAGTGGTTGGTGCGCATCTCAGGTTATATATCTATATATCTATATATCTATATATCTATATATATAGATAGATAGATAGATAGATAGATAGATAGATAGATATATAGATAGATATATAGATATATAGATTCGTATGATGTAGGAAAAAATTTTCGTGCTCACGCCTCGGTTAGCACAGCTCAGCGCTAATTTGTGCGTTCGCACCAGTGGCCGGTTCGCGCCTGCGCTGGTGCCCGCGCTCGCCTGAACTTTTGACTTTCGAAAACGACGCTCACCGCCCTGCCCGCGTCGAAGAAGCCGCCCAGACAGGGAAGCCATAGCCCTGTGCTGCAAGGGAGTTCTTTCATGTGTGAGTGCTAGGCGTGCGCACGCCTGCGCGCCAGCGCCTGTGCCCAATCACATTCCCCGAACCCGACAAGGGCTGCTTGAAACACCAACAAAATCTTTTCGCTCGCGAGTGGTGGAAACGAAGTCGCAGCTAGCTGGAATTCGGCCCAGATCCATTGCCAAGAGCTCCAGCGCAAGCAGACGGCTCTTTTCAGCCAACACTCAAGTGAAACAGTACTCCACCTCGGCGTTTAGTCGTGAATAGTCGATCCGGATTTTCATTCCGAAGCATTGGCCGACAAGGAAGAGTCGAAATACATTACCAGCACATCATGAAGAGCACCTCCTACGAGCTTGCCCCAAGGAGGAAATACACGGAGACGGGTCGTGACAAAATCGAGTGAGACAACGCCAATCAACATTATACCGCCACCCTCCCCCTCTCATGCCTAATCTAGCAGACGATCCAACAACACCCACATCATTCCTTCGCCTTCCACTATAGACGACCAATACCCCATCCTCCTCCCCCCCCCCCCCCCCCCCCCCCCCCCCCCCCCCCCCCCCCCCCCCCCCCCCCCCCCCCCCCCCC